GTAATCCTTATACATTGCTGTCAAACAGACCCCAAATAGAATGAGGTATATTTTTTACTGATGGACTAATCCAAACAAAATTTCTAGCAGTGTCTGGCACCAATAGGCTATTAACATGGACAGAATGGGTATAAATGGCAAATTCTTCAAAACCTCTTAATCTACCATGTTTCTGTTCTTTTCCATATGTATTTCTCTTTCCATCTAATCTTTAATTCAGACCCTTCTACCGTTTGTTTATTTTCACTCACACACACACACCCCTTGCCTTCTCATTATGGGTTCATTGTTTTATTATTTTATTATTATTTTTTACCTTTTTAATGAATTTATTGGGGTGATATTGGCTAATAAAATTACATAGGTTTCATGCCCTAACCGGTTTGGCTCAGTGGATAGAGCGTCGGCCTGCAGACTCAAGGGTCCCAGGTTCGATTCCAGTCAAGGGCATGTACCTTGGTTGCGGGCACATACCCAGTAGGGAGTGTGCAGGAGGCAGCTCATCAATGTTTCTCTCTCATCGATGTTTCCAACTCTCTATCCCTCTCCCTTCCTCTCTGTAAAAAAACCAATAAAATATATTTAAAAAATAAAAAAATAAAATTACATAGGTTTCAGCTGTACAATTCTACAGTACATCATCTGTACATTGTATTGTGTGTTCACCACCCCAAGTCAAGTCTCCTTGCATTGCATTTATCCCCCCAGACCCTTTTCAAGAGGAACTGTTTTTCCTCTCCCTTTTTAAACCTTGTAGAACCCCTAGCTACTCTGATAATGATAGAAACATAGCCCACTTTCCTTAGTCCTCAGCCAGCCAACCACATGAAGGAGCCCAGAGGGAACTGCACAGGGGACCTCAGCTTCAATTGCTCATTCACATTTATTGTTATTGTTGTTTTGAGCCTCTAGGTTTTGGGATCATTTGTTATACAGCAAAGGCTCACTGAACAACTTCACTTCACGCACAGAATCTAAACAGTGGCAAAACCATTGTTTGCTCAGGGGCTGAAGACTGCTTTGTGTACTACAGCTACTATTGTATTTAATAAACTGACCCACGTGTGTTACGTCGAAAAACCTTAGAAATTTATAAACATCACAAAAAATCTTTTGTCTGGATAATTTATGATAAAGATGGTTTTAGAATAGGGATGCTGAGGTACATATCAACACAACAGAGAGAACTATAAATTATTCTGTCACCATAGCAAGGAACGGACTGCATGGATAATGGTAACACAAGTATTTCCCACCATAAATTTTGACCACCGTGAATGATGTCCACCAAATCTTAGGTAGCCTACAAAAAATGGGGTAATATGAATTCAGTATTAATTATAAAGAGATAACTGATGGTGGAATTTTTTAAAATGGTATAGTACCTAGGGTTGCAAGGCATGAAACAAAAAGTTTCTTATTTTTAGCTGAGTTTTTTCTTTAAGATTGACACACTTAAGAACATACAAGGGAATTGCAAAGTAGCCTTTAGGAGGAGGTACATACATTTATATTAGGGCACATCTCTCTGAGAGCAGAAGGTGTTATTTACTGCAAGGGACTACATTTCTTGGAGGTTTTAACATAGCTGAACATTTTCATGTGACACTGAAATATTTTAAATGAAAAGAACATTAATTTTTTAATAAAATTGATTTATTATTTTTATATTAACTTGGGGACGGGGGCGGGATTTCCCTTCTGTTCTACCATCTTGTCCTTGTTACCAAAGCTTCGAGCATGTGCAGGTTTTCGTTGGTGGCAACAGGCCCTCCCCAGAATCTGAACAAACCCATTGGGGTAGGAACTGACTAGAACCCAAGGAGGGCTATCAAAGACAGATTGTTGAGCTTCTCCTCCTTGCCACCAGCAGCTAATTTTTGTTGTGTAGGGGCTGTTCTGTGCATGTAGGGTATTTAGCAGCATCCCAGTCTTTACCGTTACCTGCTGGTAGCATTCCCTTCCTCCAGGTTGTGATGATCAGAAATGTCCCCTGGGGAGCAAAATCATGCAGGTTGAGAACCACAGTCTCTAAAGCCATTATCATCTCAGCTCTGCACTTTTTCACATGGTCTCTGACGTATGGCAAAGAGCTAGTCCACCGACTGGGTGTAGGGAAGAGTAGACAGGTCCCACCCTCCAGTGCTTAAACAGGATGAGCCGCCGGCCAGCTGGTCTTCCTCCATGGAGCACAGGTGGGGAGAGGACATCATGCACATACTCTAAGCCAGTTGGCATCCTGCGATTTTGAGCTAACCAATCCATTGATTGGGATTTTAAAAACTGTTCAGAAAATATTGGCTAAATATATTGTTTTGAATTTGAAAAAAATATTTAATATAAATACTTCTTATAGAAAACGCAACCATTCACCACTGGAATCATTGTTATAAAGCTTTTAGGAAGTAAACTAACAAACTGAGGAAGGTACCTAGAAACCAAGCAGACTCACTTTTTATTTGCTTGATTTTTTTGAAACTGTTTTTGCTGTAATTTTAAATATAGAGCTCATGACAAACACAATGCATATATAATAGTGGTATCTGAAGTAGTAATAGCGATTTGTAAGTTAACATATAACACATTCCTTTTGTGTAAAACCTATTAGATTTTGCTACCTTACCTTTAATTTGGGAAAGGCACATAAGGCAACCTGCAATATGTTCAAATAATGCAATAATCCCCACACTGTTATTTCCCTGGAAATATCTCTGGATATTTTATTTATTTTTGTTTTAATGGATTCCTGTTCTCTCTCTCTGGTGGGAAGGATGGTGTTTCTTTTTGACACCAAGAAAGTAGAGGCAACTCTATTTCTTCTGTGACTTACTCTTCTCCTCCATTTCTATCATGCATTGCATGCAATGAATTAGTATGTTCTCCATGCAATTAGGCAAGGAACAAAATTTCTTTCATTCTTTTCTAATTGCCTGAAAACCCCATATCTATAGGAAATTTTCTTCAGTCAGTTAAAGGATGTGCAAATTAATAAACATGTTTGGTCTTCCTATGCCCACCCCTACATACACACAAAAATTATCCTTTTGCCTCAAATCCAGGCACACGTATATTGCATTGTCCTGTTTCACTTCCCTTTATCTATCTAAGATGGTTACACCAAGTAAATCAAAGGAGTCAATAAGTATAAGTTGACAACCATTGAAAGTGCATTTTCTCCTTGTTTATTTCTATCTATATATAAAAAAGCCCAGCGACCAGAATGGCAGAACAACCAGAACAACTGGAATGACTGGTGGCTATGGTGCACACTGAGGCAGCCAACCAGCCTGATCCGGGCTCCAAACAGGTGCCCTGTCCCTGGCCAACCCAGCCCCCGATCGGCCCCTAACAACCAAATCGGGAGTGGGGCCAGCTGACCAACCACACATAGGCCCTCTCCCCCGCTGGCCCGGCCCAATGGTTCCCCATTGGAGCAGGCCAACCGGACCCCACCTGTGCAGGAATTCATGCACTGGGTCTCTAGTTTCAATATATTGTTTTAATGCATATATGGTAGTCTATATGTGTTAGACTTTATAATCTCTTAAAATATGTTATATATCTTTGACATTTTAGATATATAATTTAATTGAGATAGCTCAAGCTAGAAACAATTGCAATGGTTATAACTTATTAAAGCTGGTAATTGATGGAAAAGTTAAAGGTAGCATGTCAGGTAAAGGAAAATAATCTTAAAGGGTACAAACAAAAAAGTACATCAGATAAAAATTAAGATTTGGGGCTAGAGATATTACATTTTCCTTCATAGATTCATTTACTATGACCATTCTAAGCACGAGAAAAATATTAGTAAAGAAAAATGTGTATGTGTGTATTATTCGCAAACAATTTTTCAAATATATATGTATATGCATCTCACAACTAGAATAATCCATCCTGTTACTGAAACCTAGTTCCTTCTATTCAGTCTCTTTGTGTGCATTTTGAAAAGTCATTTCTGGATCTTATCATTCTTCCCTGGAGACCTTGCCTTTGGCAATCACGGCCCAACAGAAAAATCCTGAACACATGCTCCACACCTTTTCCAAATATGGCTTATCTACCACTGTCTATTGTTAACCTCTTAGGTGGGGATGATAGATGTAAGTTTAAATACAAGATTTTCAGGCTAAATTTATTTTAAAGAGTCTTATCTTTTAGCTTACTCCCCAGAAATGCTCCAGTCATGAACTGAAAAGATCTTCTTTTATGAATCTATAAGCATTTAAAAGTGGTAGGAGAAATCATGTTTCTATCACTTTATTGTGTTTATTATCTACACTAATAAAAGACAAAGATGCTAATTGACCATACCTTCGCTATGCCCATCAGCCATCAGAAGACTATGCAAATTAACCTAACAAAGATGGCTGTTAAATTTGCATACTGTAGGCGGGGCGGGACAGCGCAATCCGCCCCACCGCCTGCCGCCATCTGGGACTCCCATGTGTGACCCTGGGCGGCGGGGCGGGGCGGCGCCATTGGCCGCCCGCCCCACCGCCATCTGAGCCTGCCATCTGCGACCCAGCACGGGATCCAAGCCTGCCATCTGCCACCCAGGGAGCGGGCCCAAGCCAGCAGGTGGTTATCTCCCGAGGGGTCCCAGACTGTGAGAGGGCACAGGTCGGGCTGAGGGACACTCCCCCCCCCCCCCCCCGCCAGTGCACAAATTTTTGTACACCGAGCCTCTAGTATATATATAATCTCAGAGCCTAAGTGAAAGTACTCTGGGTAATATTATTTTGATGTGGTATAGTGGTCTACCTAGAGTTCATAAATACTTTTCTATTTGGTTTCTCCATGTTCAATAGGATATTTGATAAGTTACCATTAAAACAATATAAGATAAATGTTAGATTAGAGAAGTAATGAATTAAGAAATAACTTGTTTCCTTTCTATCTTAAACTTTTAGGCTACTTGAGAAAAATATTTGACAGACATAAAAAGATGTATGAAGATTAATAAAATTGGAACTGAATCTGGTATTTAATCGCAAATGCTATCCATATTTCATACTTGGTTGTCTGTGTATTATGAAATGTGAAAAGTAATAAACACATACATTTTTATGGTTGTATAAAGTTCCTCTGTAATATGAAATGTTACCATATCCTATCAGAGGGAAGAAAAAAAGACCAGAAAAGAAACTTTTAAGCCAAGCTTATAGCACAGGTTACTATTTTTAAACTTCTTGTGACATTATTTGTCTTATCCATTCTTAGTTTTAAAGACTGACATTTTTAATGTTAATGTTTTAAGTCAAGTGCCAGAAAAATATATTAGAAGACCACATTCTCAAGTAAAGAAATAAAATGCAATTAGTACCATAATTTACTTTTTCTATTAGATAAGATTTTTTTTCACTTATATTTGAAAAGACAAGTATACTGAATACTTATTAGCAGTGTAGAATCTTTGTGGAAAGCCTAGTATGAGTGAAGACCACCTGTAAGTCATTAAATTTCAAGAAAATTTAGTAAACATAAGTAAATGTACGGCTATGGGAGCTTGACAACAAGTAGAGTGATGAAATATTTGATTTCCAAATTCAACTTTTAAAATCTAAGATGTTTTAAATTAATTGGTAACTAATGCCAGAAAGACCTTTTTCACTAGCCAACTTTCATTCCTTAAACCTAATTTTAATCAAAACCTAATTTTAATCTTACAAATTTGCAAAAGCTTGAAGATCCCTTTAAAATAATTCATGTCTTCAATAATTTTATCATATTAACTACTTGATTACTAATGACAACAATAGATTTATACATTCTGATGATTGCTGGTGCATTTGGGATAGTGAAAGACATTGCAAAGTACAGGTGACCCAAGTTCTGCCTTAGATGAGCAATATTCAGGTTTGCTCAGCACCCTCCTCTGTGTTCCCATTGGACTTATTCACACACATATAATCTTCCCTAATATAGGATATTGTGATTATCTGTTTAAACATCTTAACCCTCCATAGGATTCTGAGTGAACCTTCAGGATAGAAAATTTACCCTATTCAGTTGTAAATCTCCAGGGCTTAAAATTGTGTATGGCCATAAAATAAAAATTCAATAAAATGACATTGAATGAATGAATGAATGAATGAGTGAAATAAGCAAAGGAAGTTCAATTACAGAGGCAGCTAAACTATTTTCATTTGACAGTTAATTGAGGGGATGATTTATTGACTTAACAGATAACTACCAATCTATATATATAAAAGCCTAAGCGACCATTAGGACAGAACAACCAAACAACTGGTCTACTGATCACTAGGACGCACACTGATCACCAGGGGGCAGACGCTCAATGCAGGAGCTGCCTCCTGGTGGTCAGTGCGCTCCCACAGTGGGAGTGCTGCTCAGCTGGCAGACCTGTCCCTGCGGCCCACCAGCCCGGCAGCAGCCACTCACTCCCTCAGTAGTCCTGCAGTTCCAATCTCCCGAGAACGGGCCAGGCACCGACAGACTGGCGCCACCGGCAAGATCCGACAGCATCCTTGTCCTCCAACACCATGGCTACTTTCCCTTTCTAGACGCTCCGCAAGGAAGAAAGATATAAAAGCAGTCTGACAACCGGCGCGAATGTCAACGGGAGGGATCTGGATCCCAGGTTGGCAAAGGCATCCCACTGACCGCCTGGAGGGTGGATTGGGTCCTGGCTCCCCTCCACCCCCCTGCAGATGGTGCCAGATGCAGGGCTCATGGCTGGCGAGTGCAAGCCTCTCCCAATCAGGACTGACTGGGCATGAGCCTGTGGCAGGCACAGGGGGGCCAGGATGAGCGGGAGCAGCAGGTAGGAGTGGCAGGTGGCATTGAACTGCCAGTTTCAGCCCAATCCCCCAGGCCACGCTGAGGGACCCCACCCATGCATGAATTTGTACATTGGGCCTCTAGTAGTTATATAAAGCTATGTAACATATTTGTAGACACTGGTGCTGAAGACATTAGTGAGGAAGATGAAAAAAATTAAACTTTAAAGACCAATATGTATTTAATCACCTTAAAACATCATATGAAATGGTATATTTCTCCTTGGTAATCATAAGACTTCAGAACAAGCTCTGACACAGAGTTATTGAACACTGATCATTAAGATTCTGCAATCTGTTATATAAAGTTAGCAGACTATGAATAAAATCTGGAGGATAACATGTCATTAATGTTGGTATTATATTTATAAAATATGGCTTGGTTCTTTACCTCAAATGTAAAATCAATATTAAAACCATATATACATTTAGCCCGGTTGGGGTGGCTCAGGGGTTGAGCGTCAGCCCATGAACCAGGAGGTCAGGGTTCCATTCCCGGTCAAGGCACATGCCCGGGTTTCAGGCTCAATCCCCAACAGGAGACAGCCGATTGATGTTTCTCTCTCATAGATGTTTCTAGCTCTCTATCTCTCTCCCTTCCTCTCTCTAAAATCAATAAAAAAATATTTTTAAAAAACATATATTTAAATATTTTTAAAATCCTAAGTAACCTTTAAAATATGTTAGCTAGAAAAGCTTACATCCTAACTGTACTTCTTTGGTTTGTAGGCAACGAACAAAGGAATATGTTTATTTTCTGGTGTCTCTTCACCGTGATCTTATACCGCATGGTATTATACCTTGTGGTTATGAGGCTCCCCCCAAATTTTCTAGGCAGCAGGCAGGTGGAGTAGAAGAAAGAGAATCCACGCCTCCTCCCAAATAGGCCTAAATTCCCATGATGCAGCCTCCTTCATCAGGAGTCAGTGGGCACACCTCTAGAGCAGTTTAAAGTTCTGCTATCAGCTCCATGTAAAAAAACCACAATTACACATCTATATTCTGTAATTTACAGCCCACACATTATTTGGTTAGTACACATTTCAGGGCTGCAGAGATGTATGGTAATACTAAATGTGTCCTAAGAAATAAAGTGAAATTTCCATCAAATTATGAAGATGCAAACAAGCATATCTTTTAGTACCTCGTTCTCCCTTCTGACACTTCTTTCTTTGCACTGTACACTTTCTCGTCTCACTGGTTGGGGGACACAGGTTACCCTTCGCTGACGGATGCTGTGTGATTTCTCGGACCCGGGTTTCAGTCCCTCTTTTGAAGCCGCATGTTTTCCCCTTCTTCGTGCATGGACTCCAAGCACTCCACTCACTGGCCTCACAGTGCACTGCAACAGAACAGCAGAAACAGCGTCAGCTGGCGCACAATATTCCCACGATTGTTAAATAAACAAAAAGGTTTGCTGCCATCAATACTTGCCCAAAATCTGAGCAGAAATCCAGCAGAACAGAGTTGGGCAAGATGACAAAGATAGAACAAAGAGAAAGGGGGAGGCAGGAATAGACTGTTTTCAGTTTTTTAGTACACGTATTATCAGGTAAATTCATTCTTGCATTAGGTTTTCTGTTCACTTTAGATTTGATTAACCAGCAACTAATACAATTACTCACAATTATTCAGTGTTTTATAAGTTCTGAGCACTGGGCAATTATTGATTGATTGATCCTGATCATAACTTGATAGAATAGTCATTATTATGCATTAGAGGATTCTCAAACTATAGCGAATAACAGAATCCCCAGGAGAGCTAACACACAGAATTCTGGGCCCCACCCCGTGTTTCTGATTCAGCTGTCTGGGATGGGGCCCGAGAATTTGCATTTCTAACAATGCATGCAATACTGATTTGCAAGTACTGAGAACACACTTAGAGAACTTCTGTGCTACATACAGAACGGTAAAGCGAAAAATGAATCTGGGTCCTTAGCCTACAACCCACTACCTGTTCTACTCCATTGCTCTTGAGTATTTAAATATTATTATTTATTAATGGTCTAGAGGCCCAGTGCACAGGTGGGGTCCAGCCGGCCTGGCCCCAATCGGCAGGTCGGGGCCAGGCCTGTTGGGAGGATGAGACAGTGGGAGGTTGGCCGGCCAGGATCCATCCTGATCAGGGCCCGATCAGGGCTAGGCGGGCTGGGGGAAGGGGCTGCGGGAGGTTGGCTGGCCAGCTCCACCCCTGATTGGTGTGTCGGGGGCTGACTTTGAATAGAACTGGGCGGGGAGGGGCTGCGGCTGAACAGGTGGTGGGGCTAGCCAGGGGGAGGGGCCACGGGAGGTTGGCCTCTGGCCCCGCCCCCTGATCTGACTTTTTATATATATAGATATGGTTCAGGCATGGAAACATCTATTCTAAGTGAATTCTGGGTCAATTTCAGCTGATAGACTGCTTCTAAAATTAACTTGACGAGTGATTCCTAAGATCAACTGATGTACTTTCTCTAAAGCTTTTTTTTTTTTATAGAGGTGTTCCTTTTTCTTTATGTATTAATCTCTTCCTTTCAATCATGCCTTTTCAAGGTCAGACTTTTGCATTTCTAATGAAAATAAATATCTGCAAGGTGTTATTCTTATATTTATGTCTATGAAACTTCCTAACTTACAATAACTGTAACAGCTTGCAACAGTAACTCTTTCAGATGATATGACTCCCTTTCCACAAAAACAAGTTTCCAAAAAATTTTCTTACTGCCTTCCGATTTAAAGAATCCTTACTTTAAGACAGAATGCTATATTTCATACATTCTCAAGAAAAAGAACCTAAATGTTTTAGAAATTTAAATCCATTTGCCATACATTTTTCCACATGCTTTTTTGGTCACTTTCAGATATCTGAATGTAACACAGAGTTAAATGGAAATGATTAGATAAGCAAATTTAAGTTTCTATGAACTCAAGTGAACTTTATTGTACCACTTTCAAAATAGTCTTCATGCTCAGTTATACCATTATTAGAGCAACCAAGTCACTTAATGATACCATAACTCTTGCCAGTTAAGGAAATATCTTCTATCCCCATATTAATCACTAAAAAGCAGTGGATCTTGAACACAACAAATAAAAAGACCTCCAAGAAAGCACATGGAAAAATAAAAATCTAAGTCCTCCGTCAGATGATGAATGATTCTAACAATGAAATTCTAGTAATGATATCGCTCTCATTCTTGTTGGCTAACTATGTGGTTCCACAGAGAACATAGCAAGGGTATGTTCTTGCTACTCACTCTTTGGAGCAGAATATCTTCCCTCTTTCACTACTTAAACAACTTTCCGAGATAAGCAATAAGGATGACAGAATGGAATGACAGTTCAGAAAGGAAGCAAATATCTGGAGTCCAAAGTAGAAGAAGTACATTCCCCTATAAAATTGGGGTCAGTGGATATTTGTGCTTAATTGGACCTGCCAACCATGGTAACGGGTATGTTGGTAAGTCTTTTGCCCTAGCTCTATATCAGGGTGGTGTTTTCTGTTTATGACCTTTCCTGTCAATTGAAAGTCTGGGTAAGAAACAAGTCATATAGTGTAGATTTTAGCAAAGAGAGAAAACATTCTTTAACCTGTTGGGTGAACACTAGGGAGCTAGAGTCAAGGTCATCGTTACAGCACCAACAATAACTCACTTGTGTCCTTGGGATCATCATTTCAGCTCTCCGAGTCCTAGTTTTCCTATTTGTTAAAGGAATAGGCTTTAATGGCCCTTTGTGATAATCAAGCAGGTCATCATTTTTCATGAAATTCTCGGGAAGCCCATGGGCCTGGCCTGGTAGGCTAGACACCACGTGATGGGAGACATCCAATAGGGAGCAAGCAACAAGAGCCAGCCCTGAACCAAAGCTGCTGATTTGTGCTGCTAGTGTGTCTCAAGTCGTGTATACCTGTTCAGCGAGCCAGATTCACAAAGTGCGTTTTAGACTGCGGACCCATATTCTAAATGATGTAATTTCTTTAATTTTATTGCATTAAAAATAGTCTTGTCTTAATGGTAGTATAAATTGCCAGTCAGCTTTAAAGGCTAATCCAATAGCTCCAGGTGTTAAATGCTCTCTCTGATAAGAAAGCATCGATCTATTTAAAATAAATAGCCTTTTAAGGACTGAATGCTATACTTTCAGCAACTAAGAAAATCCAAGCCCCTTTCCCTGGTTGGAGAAATACCACAGACTCTTTGCAGCTCATCCTGTTTGAATATTCTACAGAGTTGTTTCCTATCTTTTTTCACAGTTTGGAATTTATTACCTCTAATCATCAACCCTTGGTACCTACAAATAGATAAAACACCTTATTTCTAAGGTGGTGTGTGTGTGTGTGTGTGTGTGTGTGTGTGTGTTTTATGGACTAGAGGGGGAAAAAAGGCAAACCAAAATGAGCCATGAACTGTTTCAGGACTGTTGTTTTCCAGATGCTTCTGAAGTTATCTTAAAAATATCATCCATCTATTTCACTCTGCCAAAAATTGTGCTTAGAAAGAAGTGTTCCGAGTGGACCTGGAATGGTTAAACCCCACGTTAGGGTTGTTACCCCAGCGCTTTAGATTCTAATGGATCGGACTGTGGGGACCCGGGGGGAGTCCTGGAGACGACTATCTTGTACTGAATCAGGAGGACATTTGTGTGCATGTGCCAACATCAGCGCAGCCAGCGCAGCATCAAAGGTTCCTGCAGCTCTTGCCCAGGGGACTTGGAGATTTAGTACGCTGTTTTCCCATTTGGTGTAGCATCTGCTCCCCAAGTGTTCATCAAACTTGTAGCTGTAGTAGCGGCACAGCATTTAAAAGAAGGAAAATATAGCCTGACAGTGATCTGTTATTTAGACAAACAACTTGTCTGAGGGCCCTCCCCCCCAGGAAACTCGGCCTGCAATTAATCAGACCCCGGGACTGTCTCCTCTGTCAGTTTGAGTAAGTCCAAAAATCTCTCCTCGTTTCTAAATACCCGCGTAGCAGGACATTTCAGCAAAGCAGTGTGAAAGGAAAGGGTAAGAATTTTAACCGTATCAGCTCCAGTTCTCTAGGTGTTTGATCTACCCACTGAGCATGTTTTTCTCCCCTTGGAGAGTAACTTAGGTCACTGACTGAGATTAGACCTAGGTGTTTTGCCATGTTTTTGCCCTAAGGTGGGAATTTAGTTCAAGACCAATATATACACTGAGTGGCCAGATTATTATGACCACCCCATCAGTACTTCATTGACACGTCCAAAAATACTGAATATTGAAAACGTCCTAAGCAAATACTCTCAAGGTTTTATATTATTATTATTTGCATAACTAATTCACTTCATTGTACTGATGGGGTGGTCATAATAATCTGGCCGGTCATAATAATCTGGCCCCTCTCTCTCTCTCTCTCTCTCTCTCTCTCTCTCTCTCTATATATATATATATATATATATATATATATATCACTAAAAGTAAAACTTCATTAAAGAATGATACAAAGTAATGATAAGAATAGTTGAAACAGTTATTAACAGTCCCTAAGATATAATGGAACTCCCACAGGATGTTAAACTGTACTATAATACAGCTGGGAAAAGCTATGGAAACACCATTAAGATGGAAAGATGGAGAGAGCCTTATAGAGACAGTCCCTCAGGTTCTTGTGAAATAGGATGACGAGAAGCATGTCCATGGAGACTGAATTATCATCTAAGATGTTTCTCATCTTTCGAAATCACAGAGTTCTTCCTCACCAATACTGACGCACTCCATGGTGTGGTTGTTGGCTTCCAACCCTTCTGGGCAATTGCCAAGGCACTTCCCAAGGTGTAAGTAAAACCCACTTTTACACTTTGTGCAGAAATTTTTGTTGAAACAAGTATCACAGTCAGCTTTGCACTCTGAAAGAGAAAGAAAAAGAGGAATAATTTTTTTATTATCTTGACTTAACTATTGTTGGTCCAGTTCTGTATGCTTACAACATAGGCACATGTGACTTTTATGACATACAAACATTGAGGGCTCAAAATTATTTTGCCAAACTAAATTAAGGACTCCCCCACAGTCATTTCGTTGATGTACGTCAGTCACTGGTTTTAGAATCATTGTACTGATTGCCTTAGAAAAAAGTTTTTGGCCATAAGTCCACTGCCAAGAATGTTTATTAGAGCAAATATCTATTTATAATAAATAATAGTGAAATGTTTCATCAGAACTAATAAAACATACTAGGATATTGCCTTTGTGCTGTTCTTGAAGTCCATTCATTCAAACAAGTACTTGATTGCCCAATATGTGCCAATCACTTCTAGGTATTTATTGACAGCAGTGCACAAAAATGAGACAAGGCCCAGACTTCACAAAGTTACATTCAAGGAGAAGAGACACAATAAAAAAATAACAATAGTTGCCTCTTCTATGTTGATACTATAAGTCAGACACTGCTACCAGAATTTTGCAATATTAAGTTATTTAAACCTCCTTATAATACCTAATGGGGTGGCCCCTATTATGATTCCCATTTTACAGATAAGAAAACTGAGACACAGAAGGTTGTGTAACTAGCCTAGGACCACAGAGCAGATTTGTTTGTAAAACCAGGCAGTCTGGTTCCAGAGTAATAAATGCTCTGGAAAAAATTAACAACAAAGGTAGGAAAAAGATATGAAAAATTACTGATAAAAGGAAGAGGTTATTTTGATATGATGGTCATGAAATGCCACTCTGAGAAGGTGACACCTGACTAGAATCTTGGGTATAAAGCGAGAACCAGCCAAACAAGGTGTGGGCAAAAGAGCTTTGCAAACTGCCAGCACAGTGAGGTTAGAACAGTAATTGCAAAAGCTTTGAGGTGGGAAGATCCTGTAAGAAGGCCAGTGAGGTTAGTGAAAGTGTTTGAGAGGTAGTCGTAGATGAGGTTGGAGAGGTAGGCAGGGCTATATGTGGTGTAGGATAGAGGAGTGATATTCCATAATTTACATTTTAAACCATTACTTGGTCTACAGTGTGGAGAGTAGGTTTTTCAGGTGCAGATGAGAGGTGATGTGATATTTCCAACACTTATTGCCAACTGATAAATGTTTCAGTATCTATACTGGAATCCTTCCTGAAGTGAATTGATTCTTTAAGTCATTAAATATTTAGATTTTGTAAATATAATGGGAACTCAAATGGCATTGATGCTTGCACTATTTTTCCATAGGTTCAATGATTTATACCTTAGGAATGAAACAATGAAAAAGAGAAAAAAACAACAACACAAAACTTGAGTGTTTTTTATAAGTGGTGAAAATTGTCCTGCCCTGAGGGTGAAGTCCAAGTAGGATTTAGCCTAATTAATCAGGTAAAATATTATCATTTACTTAACACTGAATATCACAAATATTCTAGAGGCCATTTCATATCTGGAAAGTCCCCATGGATGAGATAAAAACATAATTTTGTGTAGGCACTTACTTGTACACTTATTTATATCTGGATATCGAGTTCCATAATATCCACTTGGACATGAAGAGAGACACACTCCAATCTGCTTCATGCCAATTCTTTCCAGAACAAAAAATAGTCTGGGCTTACATGACAAACATCCATTGTAATCTGAACACGTCGCACAGCCTCCTTGGCAGCCTTGACTGACGTTAGGATGCACTGGAGGACAAATGTAGAAAGACAAAAACAAAGGTTAAATTGTAAATATAGAAGCTCAATGACATTCTCTGGGTACATTTTCTTTCATTAGCTTTCAATTTGGTGGTAAGGGGTGAATGAGTCGGGATTTTTTTCCCCTCTCTTTTTTTCTGCTCTACTATTTCCTTTTAATACATACATTGTTCCTGATTTAAAACTTCTTAAAATTTGAGCATTTGAAATAGAAGACTATATTGCCTCATAGATATATATGAAAATATCCAATTGAACCACCACCCTGGCCAATTGGAGATGGTAATTTTGTGCACATTCATTGAAATCAATACACATTAGTTTTGCTTTTCATTTCTGTGGTGGATGATAAGCACGTCTCTAATTTCTTCAAGCAAGGATGACAACATAGACTGGGGCTTAACTTGAGCAAGGACACTGTGTTCTAGGGTATCTTTTTTCAACTATGGTTTGTCCGGGTACACAATTTTACTCTTTGATCCAATGCCAATTGATTCTAAAACTATGTAGCTATTTGGGCGCCCCACCTCCCAATGCTTTCCCAAAATATTTCCTCTCACATGAATTTAATGTTTATCAGTTCACATTGATAGAAAGGTGAAATTATGATGTTTAGCTTACCAGTATTTCCACGTGAATCATATGTGAGTACTTGTCATAATTTATGTTCAACATTTTATCCATTGGAAGGGAAGTCTTATAGTTTTTGCACCCTCATCTTTCATTTACTCAAAGGAATTATTTACTTGGCGAGGACATAACCAGTCCATACCAAGGACTACTTCTACACATATCCCTGAGAATTCCAAGGTTTCCAAGAGTCACTTATTTGTGTTGTAAGACTATTCATTAGCCAATCTGAACAAATATAAACCAACGTTTGGAAGAGTCATGTTTACTTGAAATCCTCACAACTTTAAACCTTACCACTAATAGTCATCAACGCCTATGTGCAAGCTGATGGAAAATTGCTAACTAAGGTGAATCTCTCATCTAGCAGGTGTTTGGGATGACTTCTTCTCCTAACGCATTCTCTATTTAAATGTACTATTAATAGCCTTATTGTCCTTTCAGGAGTCCAGAAGGGAAAAATCCTGACCATTATGAGAAGCAAAGGTTGGTACATAAGTCTGTAAAGCAAGCATGTCAAACTCGCAGCCTGTGGGCCGCATTGGCCCGCAAGGAATATTTTTGCAGCCCAACCAATATAAATAAGATGTTTTAATAAAAATTTTGTAACTTAATTTTTACAATATCCTGTTATACATAATCCTATATATTAAAGAGCTAATATGCTAATTAGACCAGATGGTGGAACGACCTTCCAGAACGACCAGTGGGCGGGGCCACGGGGCTTCAGGGTCGTGAGGCAGCCGGGGTTGGGAGGGCGCAGGCGCACCATTTCTCTCCACTAATACTAGCAGTGAATATTTTAGCAGCCGATGGCCACGTCATTTGTCTTGGACTGACTTGTTTGGTGTGCGCAACAGGAAATATTTCGCTTTCGGAGAACAAGAAAAATAGGCTTATCTGCATTATGCTTCTTAATTTGTGCAGTTATTCAGTGTCTGGTAAGTTAATGTTCAAGAAAAAATATTAATTTTTATTAAAATGTTCTATTATTTTATGTTAATGATTACTCATTTATTTCAGCCCTTTGTATTCAGCATGTCTCTATTGAAATAAACCCATGTTTCTATGAAAATTGAAGTTTTTGTTTTTTTGTGGCCCACATAAACTTAAACCTTGTTTATTTGGCCCTTGTTAGCCTTTGAGTTTGACACGCTTGGTGTAAAGGCATCCCCATGTATTTCTGACTATTCTGTTGGTGGTGGGAGGGAGAGGCTCTGATGGACCATGCCTTTCTTGAGTCTGTTTCACAGTGATGTTTGATTATTGCTAAGTTCTTTACCACAAAAGCAAATCCCAACAGGCTGACTGAGAAGGGGCACCCATGAGCCCGCTCAGCCTTCCCACAGGGTGCACGGGTTAGCTACAGGGAGGTCACTCAGTTGACCAGCATCCTCTGCCTGGAGGGAACCATCCCTGAATCAGCCACAGGAACCACAAGCAGCTCATTCTCATTCCAAGATGTTTTGTAAATAAACTGAGGAAATGTGTGGGGGAAGGGAAGTCTGCTTTTCCTGTACTTGCTCCTCTGTGGGGTGGGGTGGACATAGAAAGTGGCACAGGAGGTTTAGACATTATAGGACCTGGGGGACTTGTAAGTGAAGACTGCTTTCCAAGTAACAGGGTAATTTTTCATGCCAGTAACTCGGCATTGGAGACTTACAGAAAATGTGTACACATTTTATGGGGGAAAAGACCCTAAAGTGAAGACAGCTTCGTGTGTTCTGAGTCTACTGACTCAGTTTAAGAAATAAGAGATGTAGATAAAAAACAAAACCTGTGAAACCGTTTCCTAAAAACTCTATGGAAAAATGGACCTCAGGAACTCAGTTGGAAAGAAAATCATTCCAACCCAGGGCACTGTGACTCTGAGCTTACATGGAGATGGTTTGGATTGGTCCTCACCGATCTGTCCCTATCTCTCAAATGCAGCTGCTCAAAGGAGGCACAATAGACTTTTGAGCACCTTGAAATGTTGATCTATTATAATGTAACTTTAAAGGAATCAACTATGAAAATAAACACAACTCACATGTTCAGAGCCTAAAAAAAAAGTTAAAATAAATTTCATTTAAAACATTGAGTTTTGGATGTTTGGAAACTTCTCCAGGAGAGAGCTGTGTGGGTCCCACAATTGGTAACAGTTTGCACCCAAATTATGAGGGTGCACAATTCCCTCATTAAAACGTTTACTGATCAATACAGCATAGTCGACTCACACATTGTGCTACTATTACTCTCTTTGTTTTTTAAACACATATTTCGTTTGTAGCCAAAAATTTTTAACAAAATACTTTTTTGAAAAAGTAAAGACACGACTGTCTTAACTGGCAAAGGAAATTCTTGTTTGTTCATAATCAGGGCATTTTGAATATGGGCAGGTACAAATTTGAAAGCAAACTTTATTGCTTCAGGAAGGTTTAAGTATTATGTTGTGGGAAGTGAGAAGAATTGAGAGTATGAAGTTCATATTCTAAGATTCTAGATTTTTTTTTTTACAGTTGAGTAGCATAGTGATTGCTTTCTTGAAAGCTGGATAAAGATCACTCAAATTATACAGTCAGTCTTACACAACAGGACACAAATTTCTCAAACTTCATCTTAAGGCAAGAGTTTTTACTTTTTATATGGAAACCACAGAAAACTTTGGTCTGGATTGACTGTAACAACCCTTTCAGCCTTAAAATCTTATGATCCTAAGACAGAAAATAGAATTCCGCTTTGTCATGCTTCTTCTTTGTTCTATTCTAATAATAACGCCATTTTGCATTTCCAAATCACTTTTACAAACAATGTTTTTGTACTATTACTTTATATAACAATGGAGGTCTTGTTGGTGGGTAGGCTTCATAGACTATCTAATGTTCGTACTTAATGTTAGAAAAGGAGCTGAAGGTATCAATATGGAAGTGGCCATGGTAGGACTGGAGGAGGGAACACCACAATGACCACATCAAGGAGGAGACTGGCATGAGTTCAGTGCAACTGATGCTTAAGCAGTGGTGAATGGAAGCATGAGGAATATCAAGGAGATTGGAAGCACAGGGTAGATCTAGATTATGAAACCCTTTGTGGGCCAAGGTACTTATTCTGTGGATAAGGAGAATTTCAATCTGGTGAATGATACAATCACATTTATATGAGAAAAGTGATTTTCCCTGAAAGCATGGCAGGCATGGACACTAGGAGTCTAAATGTAGTGATCAAGGTAAAAGACTGATGATAGCTTAAAATCTAGCAGGGGCAATGGACTGTGGTGAGGGAGAGATGCATATTTCCAAGGACATTTTGGAGGTAAAGTCAATTAAATATGGTGACCAACAGAATGTGGACTGAATAAGAAAGAGGATTTGAGAAGGTGTGTTTTGAGTTCCAGCCAGTGACTAGAAAGGAGAGGATGGCCGGAGGAGTAAAAAGCCTTCAGTTGGAGGTTTGGAGCAAGGTACATAGAACAAAAAGGTCTACAAATATAAACATGGCTTGGGATCATTGATTTTGCAGGTTTTATAAGATATACAGAAAGCAATGTTCAATAGGTTTAGTTTTATTGGGTGGTAGTTGCTTGAGTTGTACCTGTGAGTCTCTGGTGGTAGCTTCTTAATTAGAGAAGACATCTTGAAAGGGCAGGTGCTGAAGGATGGCAAAGGAAGCAAACACAGCCCCAGATAAGGGATATTTTGTAAAAGAAAAGGGATCTATCAGCTAATTTAAATAATACTTTGTATGTCCGTACCAGTTTTGCTTCCAAAGAAAGCCTAAATAACTGTGGTAACTGCTGTTTGTAATGGTAGGAGCTATAACAATTATTTGTTTTGGAAACCCCAAACTAGAATTCAAAGAAATGTTGTAAGCTACGAAATAAATAGTGAGTTTAGATCAAAAGTTAGAACCTAGATCTTTGATATCTCATACCAATCTCTGTCTATATAAGTAAACTTTAGATGTGAGTAATTATAAGTGGAAAAAATGGGCAGAATTCACAGGAACTTTAAAATGGGACTTTCTGACTACAGATGTGTCAAATACCTGGTAAAATGAGTGTCTGTCCCCAAAACTGGGAAAGAGGAAAGTATTTTCCTTAACTTGTATATGAAGGTTAAGTATGAAAAGAGTATATATTAATGCATAACAAACACATTTTCAGTGTCTGAACTTTCGATACTCTGAGTAACTTCAGTTTTTTTTTCATCTGATAAGATCCCCTACAATTTTCTCTATTTAATAATCTTGTGATGCATGACTAATGCCACACTTCCTAAAGGCTATTGGCACGTGTGGTAATTCACTTTTTTTTGATAAAATATCCATAACACAGAGTTTTAAACTGTATTAGAGCATTTGGTAAATACACAATGTTT